GTAGTAGCATTAAATTGAAAAAGATTACATTCTATGGGTATTTAGAAACATTAAAAGTTTATAAAACAAAAGTTGATTTTTTTTGTTTAATAATTTACCCAATATTTTTAAAAAATGCAAATGAGTTAATATTTTTGGGGCATGTGCATTGTATTAGTATCAAATGCATAAATGGATAAGAGTTATAATGTGCATTGTGTGTATGTATATATGTTTGTGTGAGAAATAATATGTAATTAAAATAATACTTCTTTTATCTATATATAAAGAATTTATGATGTATTAATAAATTTATAATCAATTTAATGTATTTGAGTAGTAGCATTGAATATTTTTTAGAAAAAGTAGTAGCATTAAATTGAAAAAGATTACATTCTATGGGTATTTAGAAACATTAAAAGTTTATAAAACAAAAGTTGATTTTTTTTGTTTAATAATTTACCCAATATTTTTAAAAAATGCAAATGAGTTAATATTTTTGGGGCATGTGCATTGTATTAGTATCAAATGCATAAATGGATAAGAGTTATAATCACAAGTTTCACATTATATTTTCAAATTTATAGAGATGAAAAGAAGTCTTTTTAGAATATGTATTCTTTTAAGTGTGGGGTATTAAATTAAATGATGGTAATGCGTAACAAAAAGTAGTGTAGTTCAGATGGAGGATAACTTGGCAGAAAAGTACATGGAGACATAGGGGCTGTTTGGCAACTTCTGAATAGGTAAGTGCTGAACAAGTAAGAGGTTTGAACCATTAAGTGCTGAACCAGTAAGAGGTCTGAACCATTAAGAGCTAGTATATTGCTCAACTATTCAGAGGCAAATGTCTGATCAATTTAGATAAGATGTCTTAACCATTCAGACTCTGTATAATACTTAACCCTTCAGAGGCAAATGTCTGAACCATTCAGACATCTGAACCATTAAGAGGCTGAAACAAACAGTCTGAACCATTAAGTGCTGAACCATTCAGACATCTAAACCATTAAGAGGCTGAAACAAACAGCCACATAGAGTTGTTGGTTCGAATCCCACTAGCCAAAACTTTTGAAAATTTGGATGCAAAACAAAAAAACGGTTCTCTAGTTTAACCATTCGGTTCTTACCGGTTCATTCCGGTTTGAGTTGGTTCGGTGCACCTAGCGGTCTTCAATGCTGGACCGGACCGGATCGCCTATCGGTTCATTAGTTTCCGGTTCGAACTGGCCGGTCCGATCCAGTTTTCAAAACTATGTGCAAGGGTGCCCCAAATAGTTGCTATCGTAGTGCATCTAAATTTCGCTATCATCTGTGCGAAGCTTGAGTGCAC